GGCAATATTTGAAGAATTAAAATCAATGGAAAAACATGAAGTATGGAACACTGTAACTAGACCTAAAAATAAGAAAGTGATCAAGAGCAAATGGGTATTCAACATCAAGGAAGATCCAAATGGAAAGCGACGATATAAAGCACGATTAGTGGCCCAAGAGTGCGGACAACGTCCTGGAGTGATTATGATGAGACGTTCGCTCCTGTGGTAAAAACTGAAACAATAAGATTGCTATTCAGTATATCTGCCCAAAAACAGAAAAGAATGAAGATTTACGATGTAAAAACCGCATATTTACACGGGAAGTTAAAGGAAGAGATTTACATGGAACTACCAGATGGGATACAAGAAAACCACGAAAAAGTGTGTAAATTAAAAAGAAGCATTTATGGTCTCAAACAGGCCGGAAAATGTTGGAACGAATTTCTAACAGAGATTATGATTAAATGCGGAATGAAATATTGTAAAGAAGATCATTATATAAAAAGATTACTTGAATTATACGGGATGGAAGAATGTAACATCGTAAGATCTCCAATGGATTTAAACGTAAAAATGGAAGAGTACAAAGAGAGCGAAAGAGTTGACGTCCGAACTTATCAAGAATTAATGGGACGACTGATGTATTTAAGCGTCCATACCAGACCAGATCTGTCTTTCGCATTAAGTTGCTTATCACAATTCAATACTGACCCAAGAGCAATACACATGACAGGACTGAAGAGGATCCTTCGATATTTGAAAGGAACTATCAATTATCAACTACAGTTTGGGAAGCAAAGAAAAATTAAAAAATTAGAATGCGAAACCGATGCGTCGTGGGACAGAACAGAAGATGCCAAATCGTTCAATGGAATCCTACTTTATTGGAATAGAGATTTAGTACATTGGAGATGCAGGAAACAAAAGAAAGTTGCATTATCTTCCACAGAAAGTGAATTAGAGGCAATGTTAGAAGGAGTAAACGAGCTTACATGGACTGCCAAACTATTGCAAGAGATTGGATTATCGAATGAGATACAGTGTGAACTGAAATGCGACAATTTGAACGCCGTCAGACTAGCTAATGATGGAAATTTTAAAACAAAATCTAAACTAATGAATAGAAGATGCCATTACATCCGAGAGACAGTGAAAGAACAGAACATTCTCGTTCGACATGAGCCAAAAGGTAACATGAGAGCAGATTGTTTGACTAAACCCTTAAGTGGCCCCACTTTACTGAAAAATGTAAAGAGATTTATGTCGACCATGGATCAATAAAACCAAGGGGGCTGATTGTGAGAGGTTGTTTTTATTGTTTACATGTAAGATCTTTATGTTAATAGGTGTAGACAGGCAGACATAAATCTCACTAGGATTCAGAGACCAATAGGAAACGATCTTAAAGATAGGTAGATGGCAGTACGAGATCGTGACTCTATATTCTTTTTGGCAACTCTGGACACGCCTTACTAACTATATATTCATTGTATTTTTCTCACGAGAGCAATGTATCGTACATCCGCAACATTAAAGAGTTTACTATATTACGTGGTTAAATTATAAGATATTATTTTTATCGATAGCCTCCTATCCTCACAATAATAAAGCGAGATCGTTACAAGATCGTAATCGTATTAGAAGAGAGTTTTGAAAACTCATTTTATACACACAAAATTTAACGACAATTTCTAATGAATATGCGAATTAAGAATTTTAGCTTTCCATTATGCATGCGACAGCGCCGCATGATGATTTTTTATGATCTCAAACAATAAAAGATAGAAAAAAATTTTTTAAACAAAGTTGTATAATTTTAAGAGAACTTCCATTTTATGAAAACAAATTCCTTACTTTAAAAATACAAATTATTTTCTACTATAATTTTTATTCTTATAGCAGAGAATTTATTCTTAAAGCAGAGAATTTGTATTTTTAAAGCAAATAAATATTTAAAACAGCGAAAAGTCTCTAAAACGCATGCACACGAAGTCACAGAGCATGAATGAAGAAGAACCGCAGCGCATGCTCATATCGCAGTATTGGCGTGGATGTGACAAATTTCCTAACTTAAATAGTTGTCAACTTAATATTTCGGTTTGCTGAACAGACTGCAGAGCGATACTTTTTTTCTACCGGATTTGTTTATTTCATCGAATGAGTCTATAATATCATTGAATTCAATGAGGAAACCCGTCTCCTTCACAATTACAATTCCAAATTAAAATTATATAAATATAAGTTCAACTTACTTATGTTGATTCTTTGGCATTAGTTTATTTCCCCAAGGATAAAGTCTATCAGAGAGTTCACCACGACATGCAACTTCCCATTCTGCTTCAGTTGGCAATCTCTTTCCCATCCAATTGCAATAGGCAACTGCATCGTTCCAGGAAACATGAATAACAGGATGTTCCATTCTGACTAAATACCTTCTAATTAATTGTTGATTTAAAAAAGTATACCGTAATTAGAATACTCCTCCCTCCTTCCCTCAAATCTTATAGCGAATTCAGTCACGTGTACTACGCTAGATCAGTGTTGTGACGTGATGTATTCCGTCCATCACAAGGTCGTAAGACCCGATTGAACAGCGCAACTCTGGCGTTCTGTGTCCTTTCACTTTTTAGAAGGCGGATGTATCTGCGCACCTTTTTAGCATTATTTCTGTTTCGCGTTTGTTTCGTATATTTGTGCGTACCGTAGATTTTCTGTATCAGTTTTTGTCGTTCTTTCGTGCGCTATCGTGCTGCAAGTTTTACAGGATAATGGCGACCCCCTTGTGATCTTGTGAATTTTACATTATCGTTTTATCGGTCTACGATAAAAAAAGAAGATTGTCAGGACCGAGATTCAGCAGAGGAACGATTGAGGACGGATTGGCTGGGGCGCCCAGCATTCTAGCGCCATACAAGGAAGGGAGCACGCAGATGATATCGCTCTACATTTTAATACTTTTTGCTTTATTCCATTACATAATATTACAGGCTATTACAGGCAATATTACAGGCACATAGCAGAGATAATGAGGGCGGCAGCCGGAGATGGCCATTCTACGCCCAGTGTCGGCGAGAGATTCCACAACGGAGCTTCCTTTGGAGACTTCCTTTGAAAGATTGGAACTAAAGTCGGAAGCAGAGCCGATTACTGGGATGCCGCCACCGAGATGCGAGTCTCCTGCATAGCAAAGATCCTGTAGAGTCTCCTAAGGGGCCGAAGGAAATCCTGCTGCCAAATCGAATTCCGCGCGCCAGGACACAGGATACGTCCGACAGATTAAATTTATCCGGATAATATCAATTCTTTCAGAACATTTATTCTAAATTGAGCGAGTTTGATTATTAATGATGCGATCGAGAGCGAACTTTGATTTTTGTATGTCTTAACTATGTAATATTTCCATCGTTTTCATTTACATTGATAATGATCCAACAGGGATCGAAACGATTGTTTTGTTTTGTTTGTTACCGGCAAATTAAAATTTATATTTTAACTAGATGACATGTTTTATTTATCAATGGTTTAAAAATTTTTATTTTATAATACGTTGTTTTATGCTCATAACCTTTTGTCTTTGTTTTTTGTATTTTTTTATTTCGAAGGAGTTTTGTACATTGAAAGAATGTAAAGGCAATGAGAGCATCAATACAGCGCGGAAATGGTGCGCAATTATAACAAAAATTTCAATGAATTCACATAATATATGGTACTACCATGTCGATACAAAAAAATTTTCTTGTACGTTTCGTTTTGCTTCAAACTTAGAACATACTGGAAGGGCCATACGTATGTAACCAATGTAATAAAAGTGTCTCCAACATATATTCGTCTTATCTGAATGTTTGTTTGCTGTGCGCTTGGACGTGATGATACCGCGTAATTCGAACTTGAAAAAAATGTGGAATAATTATCAAAATGTTATTTGAAATTTGAAAACGATGGAAATAAATGTTGGAAATAATTGAGAAATCTACCGGAGAAGGTTGGTTTGTAAAACCAATTAAATTTTTTGTTAAATGTGTTTTGATTCTTAATTAAAGTTACTTCTAGAAAATTCAATTTATCTCCATCCACTTCCGGTAGGTTTCTCAATTTTCATTCTCTCCATCCTTTAACATAAAAGAAAGGCATAATCATTGGCATGGCAGATAAGGCTGTAGTGTCGCATCCAAAATATTTTAAAAATATTGATTTAATAGTCACAAATTTCCTTAAAAACGATTGATTTTATCCCCTTGATTTTATCAATGTTATCAACTCAAGAGTAAAATCATTAATACATAATGTGACAAACAAACAAGATAAGGGTACTCAGGATGAGCCTGTAAATAAGATTTGGTTCTTGCCTATCTATGTTTAATTTCAGAGAAATTCAAGAACATCACGAAAGACTTGAATTCTAATATTTGTTTTCGTAGCCTTAATAAACTGGATAAGATCATTAAAGTCCATAAAGACAGATTCCCTCCAAGTTCTAATAAGAATGTCATCTAATAAATTACAATGTCAAGATTATGATGCAATCTATATTGGGCAAACGGGTCGAATAAAGGAGCACAAAAATCAAATTAATAGAAAAACTTCTTGTGAATCTGTCATCACTCAGCATAGGTTAGATCACAGTCATAAATTTAAATGGGACAATGTCAAAATCTTAGACAATAAAAAGACAATTGAACAAAAGGCTCATCTCTGAAATTTTGAATATTAAATTGCAAACCAGTAGTTTAAATCTCCAATCAGATACGGAATTTTTGCACCACTCGTATGTGAACATTCTACAGAAATTTAAATAGTGACTTTGTGTATTTGCCTTTATTTCGTTAATTGTTTTTAAGTTTGACATTATAATAGTCATATATTGATTTGTGCGGACGTGGCTCTCAGATTACAAATTTTGACGCTTAAGTGTCTTTCATCTGAATATCATATTTAATAATTTTATTATTTTTTATTTTATTTTTTTATAACAATAACTTTGAAAAAAATTTTTTGTATTCTTTTATTAAATCGACGTGTTACGCTGGAATAAGTGATTGTGATCTGAGGATTGTGATGGAGACGGAGGATAAATAATTGAAAAAGTGTATGTTAATAATTACGTAACTAATTGCTTTGCATATTGCTCTTTCCAGCCAGTCATTTGGCTTAAAAGCGAAGAGACATTTTTGGTAATTCTCAACCTGACAGTAGAGATATGCTCATCTTTTGATCTCACATAGAATATCTCTAATATTGCGGACTATTTGTCAAAACACCGACGAGGATTACTTAATCAACATTGTGAACTATATTTCTTATAAGACACCGACGAAATTGTTCACAACTTGTTGAAGATTGTTTGAAACAAACTAAAACGTACAAGAAAAATTTTTTGTATCGACATGGTAGTACAATATATTATGTGAATTAATTGAAATTCTTATTATAATTGCGCACCAATTTCCACGCTGTATTGACGCTCTCATTGTCTTTATCTTCTTTCAGTTGTTGTATTTTTATTTCGAGAGCTCTCTCTCTCTCTCTCTCTCTCTCTCTCTCTCTATATATATATATATATATATATATTCTTTTAAAGTTTTGTACATTGATTTTCTCCATGAATGTCATACTGTAAACGCCGCATACTACTGTCAACTTTGGGACGAAAAACTGACATATCATCGGAAATGATGCGAATTTCCAATACGAGATGTTATCCTGCTGCAAGACAATGTCCTGCCTTATACAGCTGTCCCAATTCGACAAAAAATTGAGAATTTGTTCTGGAACACCTTTCTTATAATTCGGATTTATCGCCCTGCGATTATCATTTGTTTGGACTACTAAAGAAGCAGATCTGTTTGGAGAACAGAGATTTGAAGATGATGTTGCTGTCAAAGCGTTCGTACGTGATCGACTAGTATTACAAGCACCTTTATTTTACGATAGCGGAATAAAAAATCTACCTATCCTTCCCGGGGACCGGATTGAGACCGGAAAAATGAGTTTCTAAGTCTGGAGATTATATAAAGAAATAACTTTGTACGTTTAACTATGTATCTTTATAGTGCTTCAATAAATTAAAAAAATAATAATTCCGATTTATATTTGATTCACCCTTGTATATGTTAGCGCCGACACTATCGTCCCGTCTAAAAATGTACTAATGTCATTAATGCAATAAATAAATTCGACAAATAGTGTCACTAGTAGTGTAATAATAATGAGAAAATTTCATTAAAATTTCACTAGTTTTATTCTGAAAATAAGTATCATTAATTATCATTATATTTCAGAGAATATACGACGAAATTATAATAAAAAAGAAGTTTCTTTTATGAATTCGAGAATTAATTTTATGATGCTCCCATGCGATCACCTACCTGAATCTGTACCTTCGTTTAGCTTCTGCGATTGTATGGGAACTGCTCTTTCGAAGAATTATGAACACTATAATGCTAATGGATAGTTGTAACGTATCTGGTCAAAGATGTGTGAAAGAGTCAGATGAAAGAGTCACGTATAAAAAAAAATAATTAATATTAAACATAATAGAAATGATGATACCTATGATAACTTGTGTTTAATAATACTATAAAATATTATTTATACTAGCTGAAATAATAAATACTAATTGTTCTAATGATATGTATTTTTTACTCTAATAAATTTTTTATGCCAAATATTATAATTACTGAAAATTCTTCTACTGAACTTTCTATGTTACGTTATATGTCATCTTATACTACTATAGTAGTAACACTACTAGCTCAACAATGATAGGTACTATTGCATTTCAGTACCCTGATAAAAATTTTTCTCAGAATTTTTCATAAAATTTTTCAGAATCTCTATATAATTTTTCAGAATTTCTATACAATTTTATAACTTTCTTATATTTTTTTACAAATTGGAACATTTCTCAGAAAATCTATATCTATTCTCAGAATTTTTCATATATGTTAATTATAAAATATCATAAGATTTTTAAGATTTTTTTGTAAGTATAATTTCTGATGAAATGTTACAAAATCTAAAAAATTACAAAATTTAAAAATTCAATAAAGAATAACAGTTCAATAATTAAAAGAATTAAATAAGATGAAAATGAGCTATGAACCACTCAAAATGTTGTATGAGTAAAACTTTTTTCTAAACAATCAAAATTTATAGACGGACGTAAACTTTCTTTATTCTCAATGTTAAATTATAATTTTTAATTGTTATCAGTAACAGCGCAAGATGTTCGAAAATTAATCATATAATGAACGCGTGTAATAATAGCATGTTGATTAGTGAAATTATGGTAGAAAAAGACCTTGATATCAAGCAGTAGAAAACTTGATATAAGTCGCATACAGAATCGGTTGATACAACGAATTCAATGTAAAATTAATGTACAAAAGCTTCATATTCCTTGCACAACTGCAGTTAAATAATGTGCACTTTGTATTCTATTATTTTATTTTATTTTGGATGATCAAATATTATTTAATTACAATTGTACAAGAAATATGATACGTTTGTACATTAATTTCACATTGAATTCGTTGTATCAATCGATTGTATTTTTGAGAAGAAGTTCACAAGGATGATAAGCCTACATGTTATCATTATGCGACTTCTGTATGCGACTTACATCAAGTTTCCTATGTGAATGCTGCTTGGTATCAAGGCCTTTTCCTGACATACATAATTCCATAACATGCGATTATTACATGCGTTCATTATATGATCAATTTGCGAGCATCTTGCGCCGTTATCGTAACAATTTAAAATTATAACATTGAGAATGATCCGATAGAATGTCGAAACGTCTGTTATATAAATTTTGATTGTTTAGAAAAGTTTTTACTTACATAACATCCTGAGTAGTTCATAGCCCCTTTTTATATTATTATATTTAAATTAAAAAATATTTTTTTTTTAATTATGGGATGAGAAATTTTAGAATATTTCAGAATTCACTTGTGAAAAATTCTGAGAGAAGATATAAACTTTCCAAATATTTCTGAAAAATGTTCCAATTCGTATAAAAATTACGAAACAAATTTTTACCAGGATAGTGATACTATTGAATATCAATAATAATAATACTGCAGTAATATTGCAGTAGCAGTGACACTAGTATATATTTATACGTAGTATCTCCAGATTGCATTATAGATAATATCTGAGTATATCCAGACGATGATTCTGAATGCAGTCCTGCGCTATGTTGTTGTATCCTGCTGCTTATACGTTCTGCTTTAATTATAAATTCTCCTTTACAAACACAAATTCACTGCTTTAAAAACAAAAATTCATCGCTAATTAGCAATGAATTTGTATCATTAAAGCAGTGAATTTTTATTTTTAATGCAGTCAATATTTATATTCTTAAAAGCAATGAATTTGTGTTTTTAAAGCCATGAATTTATGTTTGTAAAACAGAGAATTTATGTAATTAAAGCAGAACGTATACATAGCGCTGTATCAAGTCGGGATGACAGATATCTTAACCTCTAAAGTCTCGAATTTTAAGTCCGAATTTACAATAGGTATTTTAAGCCTTAAGTCATAAGAAATTGACCAATTACAATTGAATGCGAGGAGAATAATTGATTGATGATTCATCCATTTCTTACGGCTTAATGCTTAAAAATCATTTGTAGATTCGGGCTAACACTTAATAACTTGATTCACAAGGCAGATCGCCGTTTTTTCGCCGAAGATTCTTTCGTTTTAAGTGAATACGCATCGAATGAATATTTTTATTAAGATTTTAGGGGGGAGGGATATTCTAAATAATTGCCATCATTTTTATTTTTATACGTACAAGTAATATTCGAGTTGGGACCTTCTGGATGTTGCCATGAGGTTTGCTTCACAAGTAACCACCAAGGAGCTTGAGAAACTACTTTAGTGACTTTGTCTTTTGTAGTTTGTGTTAAGAGGCCCTCAAAGACAAAAGAATCCCCAAAGTTTTCTGCTTCGGTAATATAACCAGTAGCATTTACAAACGTCATAAATTCCTTATTACTCACTTCAAATTTGTCTATAAAAAAATTATCTAATACTACTTCGCGTTTTGGTCCTTCTCCATCGGCTACAAAAACTGGATTGTCCGTTCCTATGAAATATGTACCGGCGTTAATTTTAACCATTTTTTTTATTTTCTCCCCTGTCACGCTATTTGTATTGAATTTAATATTATTCACAATGCAATATCTTTCTCGGGGACTAAAAAGTAATTGTCGATTCAATTTGTTGCACTGACAGTTACTATTATCCGTTACAGCGTTTACATACAAGTAAAAATATCCGATTAACATTAGAACTTCATAAAAGTTCAAGACAGTCATTTTAGTATAACAAAACATGACTGTTCTAAATCATTTACAAGACCCACAAGTCACGAGATAAATCACAAGTTTTGTAAGACTCTTTACAGCTGTATCCGAGAGAAACCTGAGAGAGGACATGACGGTCTAACCTGTAACCATAAAATGCTGCCCTCTGAAAAAGTGGATGTAAACTACATAGCAAGATCCAGTTTTCTGAGGGTACATACGTTCACTTTTCAAAGCTGGAGATAATAAATCGATATTTGGTTCGTAATCCTGCTACATTCACAACTACAATATATTCAGAAATATATAATTCATCTCTACAATCTTACATGCACAAAACATTTATTTTGCTTAAAAGTATTAACATTAGGTATATATTACATTTTTATAAATGTATTAATATTCTATTACATAAACTATATATTGGGTCATCTAAAAAGTATCCGCGGTTTTTTGTCACTAGATGTGTGTTGATGGTCATATATCTAGGGTAGGAAGTTTAAGGGGATGCTGGAGCGAAGGCCGAAGTTGATCAAGGTCGATATTACAGATTTTCATTTCCAATGTATAAGCTGCTTACGTCCTCTGAATTAATATGATCATGAAGGAAATTCGATCGATTAATTATCGATATTTTTTTCCGTTTCCTACATCTTAACAGGGACGTGTATTAGGGTCGGTTCCACAATATAAGATTTATTTTGGAAAATTTTCCAATTTTAGAATTGAAAAAAAAATAAACATAATTGAAGTTAATCTTATATTTGTAGAATCGGACCTTAGAAATTTAATTGCATTATATACATATTTAGTTGTATTATATATGTTCTAATATATATCATCAGTACTAAAAGTCTGTAATATACATAAAATACAGATATTTAATTAATAGATATATCGATAAAAGTGACTATAACTAATCGTAAAGGAATGTGAACTTGTATTGGCATGTATAGTACGCCAAAATATAATGCGTTGCCCTATGATTCACGTTCTACGATTCAATTACGACCATCCTTGTGCTAAGGCTATTACATAACGTTTTTAGAATAAACGCTTCAGACAAAAGTTGTAAAGTTCCAAAGAAGCTATTTACTGATATTCAGTTTTTTTTTCTTCATTAGTTTCTTTGTTTCAGTTATGTCAAGCAATTAGCTTTTGATTCCATCATGACAATGCATCTATTTGCATTTCTTTAATTGCAGACGCAAAATTCTATAAATTGGTTCCGTAATTGTATTTCATCAAATTTAATAATCGAAATGCTTCTGCCAATAAATTAAAAATAGTCAGTCCACGATAAACGCCTCTGATATTTATCTGTAACTAGCCAAAGCACGATTTACGGCTGTGGCATTTTGTTATAACTAGCCAGCTTACAATTAACGCCTCTGACAGTAAATTAAAAATAGTCAGCCCACGATGAACGCCTCTGACATTTGTCTATAACTAGCCAAAATATGATTTATGGCTGTGACATTTTGTTATAGCTGGCCAGCTCACGATTAACGCATCTGGCAGTAAATTAAAAATAGTCAGCCCACGATGAACGCCTCTGACATTGGATCATAATTAGGCAAAGCGCAATTTATTGTTATAACAATAAATTTAATCATATTTTCTATGATAAATAAAAGTGATATTTTCACGAATAACATAAAGATGCTAAC